GGGCGTGTGATTGGGTTCATTGCGGCGCCTTTCATGTTTCCATGTCCCTCCACACCCTCATGCAGAAGGTCCACGCCGGTCCCGGTTGATCAGGGGGTCAGGATTCAGACCCCATTGGCAAATGGTGGGATTTCCGAGTAGCAAGTTTCGTTGAGGACGTCGGTGACTTCGGCCGAAGGCCTGTCAACATTGGTTCCTTCTTGCGAGGTGTGGGAGCTACACCTCGCTGATCTGTTCGGACCTGTCTGCCACCGCCGCATCACAGTCGATGCACCCGCATGCCAAAATCCTCTGGTCTTTGGCCTCCCTGGCGGACGAGACGACGGAAGTCGCGTGCTGTTTAGCCGACCTAGTGGCCAATGATGCCCCGATGCGCATCGACGACGTCAGTAGCAGACGCGCTGCGCCACCTTTGAAGCTCGGGGGCTTGGGACTGCGTCCTGCCATTGGGCAGATTGCCAATCCGTGACAGCGTTACGCCAGTGTTGCGGCGGAGGCCCTCCGCCGTGTGCAGTCCCCCGAAACCTGGCCGAGCTAGCAATGGCAGCGTCGCAGATTCAGGAGGCCGGGTTCGCGTTGCCGAAGTGGGACAAACTTGCCGAGGGCAGGCTCCTGCCCCCTGCGTTAGTCGAGCGTGCTTTTGGAGAGCCACTGCGAGGGTGGCAGCGAGCCGCCACGGCCGCGCGTTAAGGTTGTCCCAGGCAGGCCTAGGCGGTTTACGTGCCCTAGCCGCATTTCCCACGGCTCCGGAGTTAGGACTCCCGAGCTCTTGCTTCCCAGTCCCGTTGCTCAGGCAGTTGCGGCTGCCCGTGCCTATCCGGGCCCCGTCGGTGTCATTGTGGAGGCGCTTTCGATGCCCTTGGCGACCACCGCGCAGCGTGCCCGACTGGAATGCACGGGGCAGTGTCATTTTGCTCATTCCAACATACTATGTTGCAATGAGTGCTGCCAGACAACACAGACCGTGTCTGCAAAGCTCTACGCGGCAGTGTTGGAGGGCGGACGCAAGCGCACCGTGAAACAGGGGCACGAGTGGCATCTTCGGGACATGACTGTTGACGAGGTCAGCCACTATGCGAGGGTGTCGTGCGCGGAGCGTGGGCAGCGTATCTGCCCAGGAAGCCTGAAAGGCTGCGCATCAGTAGCAGGAGCCAGGCAGACATGGTTTTGTGTTTTTCCCTCCCCCACCTTACGCAGTCAGGGTTCGCGCTACGCCGATATGGGCTCGGTTATGGCTGTAGGCGGCTACCGCGCAGCAACATGGCCAGCACGCCGCCTGTGTACAACAGGGTGAGTTTCACGCGGCGGGGAACGGTTCGTGGGCACTGCCTCGGCGTCGCGGGCGTCCGCCAGCAGGTCACCCGAAAGTGCCGCTGGACGCAACCGCGCTAGCGACTCTGAACCTTGGCCAACTGCCGAAGGCAGGCAGCGGCCCGGCGGCTGAACTTGCTGCAGCCCTCCCGGTGAGCACAACAAGTTTGCAACGGCAAGCTCCGGGTAGGTGCGTGGGCGCTTGCGTTTCGCCGTCTGCTCACGCGCCGTGCCTGCGACACGATCGGCATTCGGCTGCTGCGCGCCGCCCGCGGAACACCAGAGTGGTGTCGACGGCCGCCTGGGCGCCTTGCCACAGTGGCAGGCCATGTGCCAAGCACTCGTAGCAAAAAGCGACGGCCGGGCAGCGCCGAGTTGAGGCGGTGCCGTGCCTCCGGGAGAGTGGGTTTGAGGTACCGTCGTGGGTCCGCCTGGTCGAAGGCGGGAAGCCGCCGCCAGGAGCGGAGAATGAGCAGAAGCCAGGAGAGTCGCTGCGAGGCTGGCGGCGCTCTGCAGCGGCTTCCCTTTGTCCCGGCTTCGCGCTACCTGATGCTGTCCCAGCCAAGGCCCTTTGGATCTGCACCAAAACTAATGGATGATCGCGGCACCCGCGTGAGCCTTTCAGAAACATTGCCAACACTCACCGCCGGCGGCACCCACTATCCTTCAACCTGGAGCTGGACAAGGCAAGAACGTGTCCACCCAAACGAAAACAATCAACGCAACATCCTCGCCCGATTTTTTTCAGCCCGCAGGAATAACCACAGTTGGGCCTTTCCTTGTCAACACGCCTCATGGTAACCTGTTCTGTTTCGTTCGTCCACTGGATGCAAGCCCATTTTGTGACATCCAGTGCTGAGTAGCTTGTCAGCCAAGCCGTTTTGCATGCAGGCCATGTACACGGCGACGGCATTTTTCGTAGAGACGCCCGTGCTTCTGGCTGGATACGGTGCCCGTGATCGGCATCTTTGCATTTCAGTAAGATGCGCTTCGTTCATTTGTTACTGCAGCAGATGTCGTGATGGCACCTTGAAACCCACAGTTTAATTTCAGTGGCCCATATAGACCGGAAACCATAAAGGCCTTCTTCTTTCCGGCTCCCCGCCACCGGCGATCCCACCCCGCACGAGCAGCAGCTCGCAGCGCACCTGCTTGGGCTATGCGTCCCCAAGCAGGCCGTGGCATGCTGTGGCAACACGATGCTAGCCTCGAAGCGGCTCTCCGGTTTTCCACTCAACAAGGTGGTGGGGCCTGCCGTCTGCGAGATTGTCGAGGGCAGTTTCTTGTGCTAGTTCAGCAACGCTCTGGGCCGGCTCGTTGTCCCCACGCGTGTACGATGCGCTCAGTTGATGCTAATTAGGGCAGGATTGGCAAGGTGTCTGCGCAAGATGGCAGCTGGCTTGCGCGTTGCAGACGTTCCTGGTGTTTCACAAAACGCGACGCAACCCCAAACACAAGGATGGCGGATGGTGAATCAGCCCCCATTGGCGGGAGAAGCTAGGTGAAATGTGAGAACGCCCGGGAGGCAGCATGCCGAAGCCCAGTAAGCTGCAGACCGTCTGCCCGTTGCTCGGCGCAGCCCCATGCGCGCTGGGCGAGATCGCCAACGTTGTGGGCAAAACCATCCGGCACACGTACAACACTTTAAAACATGCTGCGAACGTGGCATCTGCTGCCCAACAAGTGTTGCATAGTGTTGCCTCGGGGGGGGGATGGATACAAGCGAACAAGAAGAGGCTCGCAAGTGTGTACGCGCCTGGAGGCACTGCACGTGTCACGCGCTGGCGGGCGTCGAAGAGTTTATTTTCATGCCATCGACGTGTCGCCAGCGTTCGCCTGCTAGGTGTGATTTTTTTCTCTTCAAAGCTATAGGGACCGGTCACCCGACACGTGCCATGACATGCCTAGCCTCCTCAGGCCTAAAGCTTGAACATCTTCAGCACTAAAACCCTACACCTTGAACCCTTGCAGAAATCCCTGGGGGTGCTTGAAAAGCTGCGTGCCTTACACTTGCTCGATATGTGCTGCATTTTCTCGTGCTGTGGAAGCATTGCATAGTAGTGCCATCACCGAAAGGTCTGGCAACAACTATCGAGCAATCATTCGGACATGTTGCGACGCACAACGCTCTTGCAAAATGGGTGAGTCATAAAAAATCCGTGCAAGCAATTGTTAAGGAACGGGTGTCACGTTCGGCACGCGATTTTCGGTTGTGGGCGGCTCGAATATCAATGTTCGGTCAAATGTGAACGAGGTGCATGTTGTGATATTTTATGGGTGTGAAGATGTTATAGATGCAATCCATTGCTGCGTTTAGATGGGGTTTACATGATTTCTCGTGCATGCTGCGTTTAGATGGTGTTTGACATGGTTTTCGTGCATGTCGACGTATGCAAAAAAAGTCATGTGGTTTACACGGTGTTTGGCATGTTTTTGTTGCATGTGGGAGGCTATTTCGTGCTGCATTGCCCAGCGGTGGTCAGCCCTGCTCGCTTTCGCCGCTGCACGGGCGTTCGCAGCGAGCCTGCTATCGCTCCCCCTCGCTGGCACCGGAAACATGGATGGGGAACCCCCAGCCCTCAGCGAGTTCCTTGGTGATTCCTCCCTGCTCCCGCCCCTCGCCAGCCGCATGCCGCGACTCGGCTGCCTGCACCCTGGCTGTGGCGCCACTGCACAGGGACCGCGTGGACAGGAGGTGGCAGCTTCATGCGTCGCGCACTCGCAACTCTTACTACCGCGACCGCGTGATGCTGCCGTCGTTGACGCCGGACCGCCGAGCCCTGCTTCGCTCCCAGTCAGGCCCGCTCGCTGGAGGCGAGCCGGCCACGACGTTGTCTCATGCAGGTGGAACTGCGCAGGCGCTTGCGCCTTCCCCTGCCCATCACCACTCGCCAATGCGGCTGGCCCGGATGCGGCGGAAGCGTGGACGCCATACCGCGTATGGCGACCACGCCTTGGCGTGCCCTCGCACGGGGCTGTTAAGCCCTGGGGTCCCAGCCGACGATCGGCGCCGCTTGGATCTCATCGTCCACAGCGCCACCCCGCTGGGTCTCGCCTTATGTTGCGATGCCACCCTCGTTGCCCCGCTGACGCGCACAGGTCTACCACAGCCTTGCGCGGCGGAGAACGATGGGGCGGCGCTTCGGTTGGCGGAAGGACGCAAGCGGGCAGCCTACCCAGAACTCGCAAGGGGCGGCCCGCAGAGGCTGGTCGTGCTCGGGGCCGAAGTGGGGGGCCGCTGGAACGGAGGCGCATTGCGGTTCGTCAGAGATCTGATCCGTTTGCACACGTGCCGCACACCCCCCACAGTCCGGCAAGCAGCGGCCGCGGGCTGGGCGAGAAGGTGGCAAGCAGCCGTCGGCACCACTGCCCTTGGCCAGGCGCCCTGCATCTCGGCAGGCTCGGACTTCACGCCGCTGCCGCTGGACCGAATCCTGGAGCCGGGCGTAAGTGCGGCAATGCAATTAGCCACCTGCCCATGCGGCCTTGAGACCACGAGTCGGCGCCGGAGAAAAGGAGCGTTAAAAAAGAAACAAAAAAGGAAAACGGCGCGAGTAAAAAAAAAACATGCGTGTACTTGAAGGAACATTTTTGGCTACACACTGATGAGCTGCTTGGGGGGGCGCTCCGAGCACGATGCCCGAGCGTTGGCGTTTCTTCCCGCCACGCTTGGCGGGCTTGGCGTACAGGCTACGACACGTGGAACGCTGCCCGCTTGCTGGGCCGGGTGACCGGGTGGGCGGACGCCCTGCACGTCATCCAGGCCCGCTGTCCCGAGGCGGCAGTGCGCTGCCTGCGCAGCGCCGGACACGAGCCTTCCAGGCACCTTGGCTCTCCGCAGTCCCCTCCGACCCCGCAGCAGCCCTATTTGATGTGCCACGCCGAGCGCCGGAAGCAGCCCAGCTGCTGCGCGCCGCGGAGAGCGGCTGGGCACGTCGCTGATCGGAGCCTCCATCGATGGACGGGCATGTTGGCCGGTTTTGGCCGGCGCGCGTTGGCATACGGCTTGCTTGAGTTGCCATTGGCGGGAGCGGATGAGTACAATAGCTGGATGGCACCGAGCCACTTGCTGGCTGGCATTTGTTGGCGGATGCTCGTGACGCCGAAGCGGTGCCCGCCACCCATCTCCCCGAGCCGACATAGGCGAGCAACTGGCAGTGCTCGGGGGCTGTGGTTGGCCGGCGAATGCCACACGGCTAGGCGGCTAGGCGTCTATGTTCCGGCATGGGGCCTTCATGGTGCGGTGTGCTTTGACTTCGCCGTCTCTAGCGGTTTGCGTTCCTTTGTGTTTGCCGCTTCCGCCAATGACGGATCTGCAGTCGCTTACGAAGGCCGCAAGAGATCCCATTTTGTTATTGCAGCGCAGTGCCGTGTGCATTGTCTGCAGTCCTACCGCTGGTGGCTGAGGCCTGCGGTGGTTTGTGGCACCAACCGTGTCGCAGCAGTTGTGGTAGTGACCGGCGAGTATCGCATGGTTCTGTGTTACCGGCGTGTCAGCCGAAGGGCGGGCCGCGTGGGTTTGCCATGAGGCGGAGGGTTGGTGGTTGCACTCGCTATGGCCCTTGCAACGCGGTAGCAGCAGCAGCAGTTTGGGCTGTTCGGAAATTTGTCGTCGGCCTTCAGGTTGGTGGGAGAATGGATGTGCCATTTTGCTGCGGCCCGGGCGCGCTAGGAACGCTTGAGGCCAGCTGCGCGTCCTTGTTGCGGCCCAACATGCGTGTGCCGTGTGCCACTAGCCGTGCAACGGACAACCGCCATCCTTGTTGGTGCTGCGCGCCTGATTTTTCGCACGTGGTGCAGTTCCAATACGGCATGCGGAAATACGAACGGGCAGTGTGAGCCGAAGGTAGGGCATTGTTTAAACACTGCTTAAATTATGTGTGGAGACAGGCCTGCTTGCGATTCAGGTCTGCGATGTTTGCAGTTTGGCAGAGGTTGGCCATGCATGATCAGTGAAGCACGACATTCTCACCAGAGCACCGTGATGGGACAGTAGTTGCTTTGGAGTGAAAGCATGTAGTGACATGGCCGAGTAGTTGCCCGCAGATGGCCTTGTTTGTCAGGAGCTTAGTAATTGTTATGCTAGCACGGCACGTGTGCGTGCAAACTCACGCCACATGTTTGACATGTTTGCAGGAAACTAGTCAAGATCGGCGAGCGACTTGCGAAGGCTCTAGGAATCCTTCACGGAGGTATTGGAGGAAGTGACAAGGATGTTGCGAGTCTCCTCACGCAGAAGGACCCATGATGGTACGGTTCATTGGACGGGAATTAACAAGGGATCCCGAGTGAGAGCAAGGGTTTCAAGGAGCCAGTTTTTAACTCAAGACGTATTAGCTCCACGCGGCCCCAGATCAGCCAAGGAGGAAAAGAGAGAGGTTATGGCGTGCACACCCAGAATACCATTAGCATTACTGCACGCGCATCATTAGTATTAAGAATAACAATGATGATGAGAATTTTGCACGGGCTTCAGTGCGCGGTTTTCATGTGCACATTATATACGACGAAGAGGAACCCTATGTGCGCATTGTTCACGCAAAAAGGACAAGTGATATGCCGAGGATCGTCGCTTACTGGCATATCTGGATGATGGCGGATGGGCTGGTTCAGGAGCCCCATGGGTGGAAATAGGCTGCCACGCATTTGCGATTCAGAACATTTAGAAGGGGTCATCTCCTGAATTGGCGCAATCTCTGGCGCGAGAGGAACGTTCCACGACCGCATTGTGGGCTACCAGCAGGAAGTGAGGGCTTGTCATTCGAATTCGCAAGAATCGGATTTCATGCGTTGTGGCGGGATATGATTTGGTGTGACCTTGTTGTTCTGTCGAAGCATTCTCATGCATTTTTTTAGTCCATGCCCTCATGATTTTGATTGGCTTCTACTTCTTTGTTGGTGTGTGCAGAGCTGTGATTGGTTGGCTTTGATGTCATGGAATCAGCGGGGGTCTTCATGGCATGACTTTAGGCTTACAAAGCATGAGAACAATATAAAACAATTTTTTTATCGCCAAACATGAGGGTGTCACAAGCAACAATAATTCAAACGACGGCCCCAGACAGAGTCCCTTTGTCTGGTCTTTGATCCAGCTCACGCAACACCGGTGGACAAGGTTCGGCGACCGCGTGGCATGATTGGATTCATCACGGATTGTGAGGGCGACTATGCCTACTGGAGCCGCTGCGTGTCCTTGAGCCATATCATCCAGTTTGGTCCGGAAGGCCAGCTTTCCTTCAAGAGGACCGAGGCTGAGGATCGATTTGTTTTCGGCGGCGACGTGTTCGACAAAGGCACGGGAGACCTGCGCATTGCGAGGCAGCTCCTGGACTTCAAAAAGTCGCACCCAGATCCTCGGTAGGCCCTTCGGGATATCTCTGCATCTTTGTTTTTTTTCTCCTTTTTTTGGTTAAAGACGATCATGTTAGACTTATCATATATCGGAGCACTTCGGAGTACTTTTCTCAAAGAGCCTGAAAAAGGAGGCCATCCAAGGACCGCGTGTGGCTACTCGCCGGGAACCGGGATCTGAACAAGCTGCGCTTCCCGGCCGAGCTGGCCGAGGATGAGCTGGACGTGCCCCAGCCAGTGCCCCTCTACCCGCGTGCCCCTCCCCAGGCTGGGGGTTGAGGAAACATGGGGGGGGGGTTACCTTACTTTGGGGCCCTTAGGATAAGAGAATCCTACTATTTGGGGGTATATCCAGGGGTCCAGGTGTCTTTGTCATGGTGGGGTGGCATTTGGCATGTTAAAGGGCGCTTAAGCTCAAGGAGGGCACAGAACTTTGAACTTTTTCGATTATCCGAACCATGAACTAGGTGTCCTTGCGCAGCTTCCTGGAGAAACGGCTCGAGGGTGAAGGGAGTGAAGGGGGGCCGAAGACCATTGAGGACATGAACACGAAGGCCAACCGACTGCGTTGGATCTTGGACCACACCATGACGCATGGGTGGATGTTCAGATAATATTTCTATTTATTTTATTAGGACCATCTGCGGCAACAGTGCAGAAAACCCAGATCTTCCAAAGCCCCTTAGTCAAGGGCAACAACACAATTCATGCAAAGGATCAGAGCTATGAATTAGGGGAAAGAGTACTTCAGCTCTGGGTTGCCCTAGGTTATGCTAAGGATCAGAAGTATGAATTAGGGGTTATGTTCCTTAATTTTGGGGTTTTGGAAGACCCGGGGAGAAGATTCGAGGACGGCCGCTGGCGCCTTTGAGCTGCGGCGGGAAGAGATGGCTTTGCTTGGTGGGCAAGAGGCTGGGATTGGGATGTTTGGGGTTTGGGGTTTGGGGTTTAGGGTTTAGGGTTTAGGGTTTAGAGTTTAGGGTTTCAGTCCTGGCATGAAGCAGCTTCCAGGTTGGCAAGGGTTTCGGGTCTAGGGTTTTGGGGGATTAAACTCGAAGGGGTTACTATAATCCCTATGAAGGACTGCTAGTATATGGGGGAACATCCCAAGGCTGGGAACATCAGCGACCAGGAGGTCGTGGAAAGCTTCCTGGCATCGGTTGCGGAGGAAGACGGCGTCGTGTGGCAGTGCTTCGGCAGTTCCGGAGAGCCATTTCTTTTTTAAAAGTAGTTTTGCCACCTGGACACAGGCACTTTTTTTGCAACAAGAAAAACATGGCAATTCAATTTTCACCGAGGTACCTCTTGCACAGTTCTCTGCTGGTGCTGATCGGGGATTGCCTTTTCGTGCACGGTGGCCTGCCGAAGGAAGCCATCAACTGGATCCCGACCATGGACATGCGCTACGTGCAGCCAAGAGAAGGTGCAATTTGTGGAGGCAGGCGTGTGGAGGGCACGTTGGAAGACTGGATGACGGCCATGATGCCCGGCTGTTCCATCACTTGGTTGCACATTGAGTACCCAGGAACTACGACTGAGCAATGTAGATGAACCAAAAAAAAGATGAACCTCAACTGAGGAATAACTTCCTGCAGGAGGGACTGCAGGACTTCCGGGCAAAGATGTTCTGGGGCCCGGGCCGCGTGCGAGGAGGCGAAGGCCTTCTCTGCCTCACAAGCACGCCCGCCTGCTTCCGGCGTTCTGTGGTGGTAGAGTGCCGTGGGCTCAACACGACAGCTTTCATCGATGTTTTTGTGCAATGGTATACAACATGAGTACAAGAAGGAAGAAGAAAGACATCTGTACAATTCTCCGTTTGTGAAAAGACTTGTGGTGTCCGATGCTCCCGAGGTCCCTGTTACAAGGTGGCATTCCAGACCATCTAGACAAGGAGGTCGAGGCTTTTCTGGTGGAGGGTGGCGTGCGCACGGTGTTCTGTGGACACAAGCCCTGTGGCGACTCCCCTTTCGTGGTGCGAGGTGAGCGTGTAGCGGTGGTCCATTGCGACACAACCTACAGCGACGCGTCGGCTGCCGATAAGCGTGGGAGTGCGGTGGCGGCGGTGGAGATGGATGCTTGCAGCCTGGGGCAGCTTTGCCTTCGTGGTGTCCTGGCCGATGGACGGGGCTATGACTTCACCCTGTACGGCGCAGCCGGTGATGCGCATGTGGGGAGGCAGTGCTCGGACGGGAGCTGGGTGAAGGCCAAGCTCCATGACGGGTGCCGCTGGGCTTTTGCTGGAAGTTTTCGTTCGTAAGACCTGAGCCATCACGTTGATTTCCGAAGTCCCTTAGGTCAGCTCCCCCGAAGCTTCAAATTCAGACACTTAGAATCCAGAGGCCTTTTGCCTGGCTCCTCAAGCACGTTGGACCGAGAAACCCTTAACCTTAAACCCTAAATCCCAAGCCCTAAACCCTAGCCCTAAACCCTAAATCCTAACTCATAGCTCTCTTTGAGCGCAGGCTACCACGTGGTGTCCGGCGAGGGCACCCGCAAGCTGAGGTATGCGACCCGTAGCCCGGAAGAGTTGCGAGGGCTCCTGGGACCTGAGAGCTAAGCACGGCCCAGTGCTTTAAGACTTCTCTTGGTGAGGGTTTAGGGTTTAGGGTAGGCGATTGCACAAGTCCTGAAGCAACAAAAAGGGTTTAGGTTTGGGGTTTAGGGTCTAGAGTCTAGGTGTTAGGGTTGCCCAAAATGGAAAAAATGGGTTTCGCCACGAGCCAGATGCAAAAGGGGCAAAAGGGTTTAGGGATTATGCCAGGGGCCGTACTATGACCGCCACCCTCCCAAAGAAGGCCCAAAACCCCCAACCCTGAAGAACTCAGTCAGCTAGGCAGGCGGAAACAAAAATGACATTGCAACAAAAGCTGTCCATGACCCTCCTACCCGGGGTTTATAGGTACAGAAGCCTCTTGCAACACGTAGCAGAAGGGTTTTCTAGCACAAGGTTGGTTTGGAAATAGGGTTCATGCTTTCAGGGCTGTTTGGCCCTGCAAGCCGTCTGCTGCGGACGTGCTGCCTATGAGCAGACTCAAGCCTCTAACATGTCCAAAGCCTACTTGGTGCTACAGGCTTCGGCATCCATGACTCGCCGAGCCCGTGCGGGTCTCGAGATGTATTCACATAGCTCTAACGGTCTCAAGCTTCACGAGTGAGAGTGAGCAACTCCCCGGTATCGTCGAAAGTCGCGGTATTCGCGGTGCGCTTCGTGGCAACATGTGCGAGGGGGGGCATGGGAGAACCGAGTTGCGCTGCCGTAAAGTTCCGCCCATGACTTCTGGAAGTACCTGGTGGTTCAAAACCCAACTTTTCAACTTTCGCCCTCTTGTGAGGTCGTCGTACTCTGAAAGTTTGAGCTTTTTGCCGCATGGGCATCTGGGAAGTAAGAGCAAGCCCTAGACCCCCAGCAGTCGATGACAATCAAGCCCTAAACCCTAAACCCTAAACCCTAAACCCTAAACCCTAAACCCCCAAAACCCTAAACCCTAAACCCTAAACCCAAAACACTAAACCCTAAACCGTAAACCGTAAACCCTAAACCCTAAACCCTAAACCCTAAACCCTAAACCCTAAACCCTAAACCCTAAACCCTAAACCCTAAACCCTAAACCCTAGATCCAGCAGTCGATGACAATCAAGCAACATCCTCGCAAAGCCTGTTTGGGTCGGCGCGCGGTGCGCTTCAACCAACTTCAGCTACTTGGTGGTTGGGTTTAGGGTTTTGGGTTTAGGGGTTTAGGGGTTTAGGGGTTTAGGGTTTAGGGTTTAGGGGTTTAGGGGTTTAGGGTTTAGGGGTTCTAAATAGGGTTACAAGTATCCTAAGTAAGGTGATCACCATAGGTACCCCTGCTTAGAACCCTACTTCTAAGTGCCTTCCAAGTACCTTTTGAGCAAAGTTGGAAGACGCCTCCCAGGGTGACGCCATGTTTGTAGGTCCCAGGGTCCCACCACGAATCCCGAAGCCCCCAACAAGGGTTCAGCGTTTAGGTTTTCGGGTTCAGGGTTTAGGGATTTTAGGGTTCGCGATCTCCTCGGAACACCCTGGCTCCTGAACAGCCCGGCAGCAAGAGGGCTTAGGGCTGAGGGTCGCCTAAGCGAACCCTAATACCTCCTCAACTTGACCCTTCGGCTCCACATTTGACATGGGGGTTTACGAAAATACGGGACCCTAATATAGACCCCAAATAGTAGGCCCCTTATAGGAAGGACCCAAAAAGGTACCCCGAATGTCGGAAACCCCACATCGCACCTGCCCCCTTTCAGCCAGGACTTGAACGAGATTGAAAGGCCCGGCCACCCCTCACAGCCTTGGGGGGTGTCTAGTGCGGGGGGTTCGGGCTGAGGGTTTCGGGCTTAGGGTTTAGGGTTAAAAAGGGTTTAGGGTTTGGGGTTTAAGTTCAAGGTTTTAGGATTTGGGGTTTGGCAAAATGAGTGGGTGTGCCTTTGCAGGCTAAGTCAAAGGGGTCATGCTTGGGAGGCGGGGGGTCCTAGTCCTTCGTCGCAACCCTTGGTATGCGGTTATCCGTTATTGAAGTTTCCCTAGACCCTAAACCTGAACCTTTTAAAACAAAGCTTTTTTCTTGCCCCGGGGCAAGAAGGCTTGGGTTTAAAAGGTGTAGGCTTAGGGTGTCCAATCCCTAAACCCTAAACCCCCAACCCTAAACCCTAAACCCTAAACCCTACACCCTAAACCCTAAACCCCCTGGCCTTGCACAGGGAGCTCTTCAAGTACCAGCACGTCCTGGGCCCCGGCCGGGTCAAGGTGAAGGCCTGCGAGAAGAGTTTAGGGTTTAGGGTTTAGGGTTTGGGGTTTAGGGTTTAGGGTTCAGGGTTTTTGAGAAAGGCTTCAGATTCCCAGGTCCATAGTTCGCAAGTTTCGTTTTATTTCGGGTTTTTTGGTTCAGAGTTGAAAGGTCAATGCTGGGGTTTTCAGAGTTTCAGGGGAAAGCAGAAAGGGGATGTTCGAGGTGCAGACATGCTTCTCGCGGACAAGAAGTCGAGCAGTTGAGCTTTTGCAGGAACCCAAGCCCTAAATCCTCAACCCTCAACCCTCAACCCTCACCCCTCAACCCTAGTTCAACCCTGAACCCTAAACCCTAAACCCTCAACCCTCAACCCTAAACCCTAAACCCTAAACCCTAGGGCTTGCTGCAGGCACGAGACCGCCACGGCTGGTTCTCCCGGCACCGGCAGTCGCCCACCGCCGCGGAGGTCTTCGGCCAGTCGCGGGGGCCCAGAAACTTTTTTGAGCTTCAGGGATTTAGGGTTTGGGGTTTAGGGTTTAGGGTTTAGGGTTTGGGGTTTAGGGTACAGGGTTTAGGGTTGTTCAGGGTTTAGGGTTTGGGGTTTGGGGTTCAGGGTTTGGGGTTTGGGGTTTAGGGTTTGGGGTTTAGGGTTCAGGGTTTGGGGTTAAGGGTACAGGGTTTGGGGGGTTTAGGGTTTGGGGTTTGGGGTTTAGGGTTTGGGGTTTAGGGTTCAGGGTTTGGGGGGTTTAGGGTTTAGGGTTTGGGGTTTGGGGTTTGGGCTTTAGGGTGTGGGGTTTAGGATTTAGGGTTTGGGGTTTAGGGTTCAGGGTTTGGGGGGTTTAGGGTTCAGGGCTCAGGGTTCGGGGTTTAGGGTTCAGGGTTGGGGGTTTAGGGTTCAGGGTTTGGGATTTAGGGTTCAGGGTTTGGGGTTTAGGGTCACCTACCGGAAGCCTCTCCAAAAGCCTCCCTACACCTAAACCTTAAGCCCTAAACCCTAAACCCTAAACCCTAAACCCTAAACCCTAAACCCTAAACCCTAAACCCTAAACCCTAAACCCTAAACCCTGAACCTTAACCCTTAACCCGTGCTTCTAAGGCTTGAAACACCTGCGGTCGTTGCTCAGCACCACCCCGCCGAGGCCATTGATCTGGGGTTTAAGGGTTTAAGGGTTTGGGGTTTAGGCTTTGGGGTTTAGGGTTTAGGGTTTAGGGCTTAGGGTTTAGGGTTTAGGGGTTTAGGGTTTAGGGTTTAGGGGTTTAAGGCTCAGGAAGTCTTTAACTTCTTGTAGGGTTGAGGCCCCCAAGCCCGGATGCAAACACAAAGGGTTTAGGGTTTAAGGCTCAGGAAGGCTTCGCTGGGCTGTTCCGGGTGACGGTTCAGGCAAAGGCTTTAGAGAAGAGGTTGGGTTTGCATATGATGGGTGGTTTCGGGCTACACTGAGTAGGAGGAAGGTGCTGAGAACCCTCAAGCCCCAGCAGCCCCTAACCCAAAACCCCAAACCCCAAATGTTTTGGGTGCATTGGCTAGGTGGGTGGTAAAAATTCCCACAAACCCTAAACCCTAAACTCTAAACCCTAAACCCTAAACTTTAAACCCTAAACACTAAACCCTAAACCCTAAACCTTTAACCCTAAACTCTAAACCCTAAACCCTCAACCCTAAACCCTAAACCTTTAACCCTAAGCCCTAAACCCGAAACCCTAAACCTTTGGCTGCAGGTCCCGCCCTCTACTGACAAGGCCGCGTCCGCATCGAGAGCCGAGCTGCGGGCTCAGAGCGCAGCGGCTTTTTTGGGGTTCTGCCCTGAGCCCTAAACCCTAAACCCTAAACCCTAAACCCTAAACCCTAAACCCTAAACCCTAAACCCTAAACCCTAAACCCTAAACCCTAAACCCTAAACCCTCAACCCCAAACCCTAAACCCTACACCCTACAGCGCCGGCTCTAAACCCTAAACCCCGAACCTTTGTTCGTTTTGTGGCAGCAAAAATTCGGGGAGCCCGAAGCCCTAAAACCCCTAAACCCTCAACCCTCAATCCTCAACCCTAAACCCTAAACCCTAAACCCTAAACCCTAAACCCTAAACCCTAAAGCCTTAAAACCGTTTTTTCTTTTGTTTCGGGGGGGGGGGGGGGGGGGGGAGGGAGGGCCCAACTTGGGCCTCAAGTTCCACGAGGCTTTGAGGGCCCCAAGCCCCAGGTCCGGGGCGCAGAAAACCCAGAAGTTGATGCCTTGCAAGGAGTTGCACATGGGGATGTACCCTCTTATGCTAGCAGTCGTTATTCGGGATTGCAGTACCCTGTAATAATCCCTATGAGGGACTGTTAGTAAAAGGGGGAACTTCGCAAGATTTTGCACATAGTGCCCCAGAAGGCCATGCAAGTGTAAGCCCTCAAAGAGCTGAAGAGCCGGAAGCCCTAAACCCTAAACCCTAAACCCTAAACAACCCACAACCCACAACCCACAACCCACAACCCACAACCCACAACCCACAACCCACAACCCTAAACCC